TCAGCATGGAAAGAGGCAGCGTGAATGTTTCATGCATGCCTTTTAGAAATTGCGTAATTCCACATCTAAGCACTAGAAGACTATTTAGGAGTACTCTTTATTTTAGATTGTCAGTGGATGAGGAAGGTAGATATTGCAAAAGGTATGGAATAGTAAGGGACTGTGCAGCCGGGGTCTACCGTTGTCCTATGTCAATGGCAAATTGCATTGAGAGCGCCTGGGTTTAGAAGGAGAAAGGAACAGTGATCCAGGCAACTGGAGTTGTTAACTTGATCTAAACAGTATGCAAAGTCTTAAAACAAATTTGGAATGGAACAAAAGTGAAAGACTTTGGACTAACCAGAAGAAGGAATAAAATGAAATGTGGTTTCTTAAACACAGGTATTGTCCTGATTAGCATTTTCTTTAGAGTTCTCATGAATGCCTTAGAAAAAGAAATATGGTCAAAATCATCTACATGGATTTCAGTGAAATATGTGATAGGATGCCACATGGGAAGTTAAACTAGAGACCGTGTGGTTTAGAAGAAGAATTGTAAGGTGGGGAGGGAATGAGGCTGTAAGGGGAATATTGATGAGGACTGAAAGAACAAGTATCAGGCAACTGGCAACATTTTTATGGAATTCCTCAAGACCAGAGGCCATCTCCTGTTTTACGCTGAAATGGATGACCTGGGCAGAAAAAAATAGGAATGTGCTAACTCATTTTGCTGAGGACACCAAGTTGAGAAGCATCATCACAACAGAGGATAATCAGACTGTTGTACAGAAGAAACTGGATGACTGTGCTGGAGTCATGGGAATGGAATAATATGCAGTAGTGCAGAGGAGAAGGTTGGAGACTATAACAAGAATTTTTGCTAGAAGTTGGGAGATCAGCAGCTGAGAAGGAGAAAGGTGTGGATGTATCAGCAGAAGCTGAGTCACGCTGAACTTTCATTTGGCACATCATCTTCTCCCCAAAGGTGGTGGGAACAGGTAGCTGCCCAAGCGAGGAACAGCCAGGTGTCACCTTTGGCTTTGGCAGCAAGGGACAGAGAGTGCATCTGACAGTCACTGCTCTGTATATGCCTGTGATGGGAAGAGTCTGCAGGAGAGGAAGATGTCTTCGGGACCCGATTCTGGTTATTGCAACCTACCTGCCAGGACTATCCTACCTAATTGATCTCTTTCAAGTTGACTGTAAGGTACCAATATGATATAGTCATGGGAACACAAATTAAATTCTAGGCTGTGTTTGTTGAGGTGTAACCAGAAGAGACGAGAGATACTGATGCCATGATGTGGGGCCCTCATGAGACAGCAGCTGGAGTATTTTGCATGCATTTCAACAGCCATGCTCAAGCAAGATGAGTTTGTATTAAAAGAAGGGGAAGAAAAAAGTGAACAGGTAACTGGAGAGCTTGTGTTCCAAGAGGAGTCTTGTTTGCTTTGGTGAATGAAGGCAGAGCACACGCATTATATCAGTACATCAGGTTGGCAAACGTATGAAAGAGGGGACTGCTGAAACTAGAAGGCAAACTTAGCACATGAATGGATTCATTTTGGAAATGAAATTTTTATTCCAGTAGAGCAGTACAACTCTGAATCCCCCTCCTGGTGGCAAGCCCAGTAAATCTCTAAATGCATTTAAATGGGAACTTGGTTGGCCTAAAAAAAGTGTAATGCAATGTGACCACCAAGGGGAGTGGGCAGGAGCAGTCCCTTGCAGTCCGATATACCTCTGAGTGTTTGCATACTTTCTTAGAGGGAAGCCATCACAGATGCTTTACTTAAAAGCTGTTTTGGGAAAGGGATACCAGAAGAAGAGACGAGGGTATGAGTTATGCTTACTGACCACGAGACTGTGTAACTCAGTCCAGCAGCCTCGATCCAGGTGACACATCTTTCCTTCTAGCTCTGCTCACTTACCTGCTGCCGGAGGATGGCAGGCTGGACTGATCTGGGACGGCTGTTACTCATTTTATTACACGTGGAAACTCCGAATGGTTTACATCTTGACTTTTATACATACGGAACTAGGAAAAAAAAATCCATTTGAACGAAATGAGAGCTAGCATCCTCTGAGAGGGAGGCAAGCCTCCCCCTCCTCCTCTCTCCT